GCCAAAAAGCGGTTCAAAACAAATCGCCAGCGACATCGACCTGGAGGGTCACGTGAAGGATGCGATTGAAGCGCGACTAGGAGAGGTGGGGACAAACATTATTAAAATTAATTAGTTTGTGACTAGAAGTATAATCATTGGTATCTTTAAACAAGCTAAATATAATTATTAGATAATATCAATCATATTTAACGCGCTACAAAATTCAAAACTGTCTTTCTTTTTGCTAATATTAAGCATACTTCTCATTAGCGTCCTCTGTACGCCACTAGCAAAAAGGCCGACTAGCAATAGCGATATTTGCAGTTTTTTGTAGACCTCGTGGCGCGCGGAAAGGCAGTCTGCTGACGTCCGTCTGCTTGCTCGTGTTTGGGCCTCCACGTGCTCTTCGCTTTTAATTGTTTTAGCGGCAGTTAACACCGTTTCGGGAGTTTTGTTGTTTGCTCGGGCGTGATTCGCCCAGTTACCTGCGCGGGAACTCGGCTGTCGTGCGCTTGGATCCTGGACGCTACTGCGCCCAAGTCGCTCAACGTATTTTGCGACGATGAGCACAGCGCGATACGCAAAGAAACGGTGCTCCGTGGAAATGTGTGAAAGCAACACCCGCACGGCTGGCATCTCGCTGCACCGGTTTCCCCTCGACTCTCGAAGGTGAGACTCCGCTACTGTCAGTGACATGCCTGCTGTGTGATGTATGCCCCTTGTTCGGTCTCCTCTTAACTCTTGTTAGTTTTACCTAAAACTATTAGAGTTGTCTGGATGTGCACAAGAAACTACACCTGAAGGCGTAATATGTTATACTGGGAATGTTTTAAGTTCGAAATCACTCTGACTTCGCAGCGTTGTGTGCCGCCATTATAAAAGTGCCCACGATATTAAAATTTACCTGTACCGGCCTGGCTCTGAGGAGCCTAGTGTCGTGATCATCGGCGTGGTTATCAGTGGTACAACACAGATATATAATTGGGCATCTGTGCGTAAGACTGATATTTTTACTCTTCATGATATACACAGAGCAGTGATGTCATGCATTTGTTAAGGTCCTTGCACTGATTTGCTTTGGTTTGTGGACATCTGGGCTACATTTTCTTTTCGTAAGTATTCATGGCACCCTCATAGCACCATGCCTTATCTGCAGGCGCGAAGCCTGGGTTCGGTTCTGCAACAACCGAAGTCTACAGGAGAAGACTCCATGGCAGCTACGAGACAGAGTAGTTTGCTCCTTACATTTCGAGGAGTCAGCTCTCCTGCGCCCTGGACACCTCCGTCACAATGCGTTGCCAAGTGTGCTTCCCACAAAAAGTAAGCAGACCAATAAACCTTCCGTGCACTTTGTGACTAAGCATGGTTAACCCGCTCTTAGAAAAATGGTTACCACATGGGGTTGAAATATTGCTTTTGTGGGCTCATAACATTTTTATATTATTTGCAGGGACGACACATGGCGACATTTCCAGCAAAAGCTCTCCAGGTTCAGCAGTTTTGCATGGTGAGCTTTTCACTGAAACTAACATAAAGTAGCAGCAACTGCCAGCACCACTGCATTACGTCATGGTCTTCATGACTTGAGCATTTTGCAAAAGAACAAGGTGAGATTAGCTGGGAAAAGCTGGTTGAACATGGACAGAGATACTGCTAGAAGTTCATTTCAGGCCCGTTTATAATGACATGTTTTACTTGAGGTGACATAATCAACGTCACAGAGCATCTTTTGCCTTGCCGACACCCAGTCTTTCATAATAAAGCTGCCCATGAAAGAAAGTGATTTACATTTTGTGTTAAAATAGGCGAATTCACCATAAATTTGCTGAGGTGAGTGTGACACCCTCATTGAGCTACACATGCTTCGGCAGTTCAGACTCACGGAGCTTCTGTAGTCACCCTGACGACCAGTCTTCCGAAATGAAACTTTCGTGGGAACAAGGTGATTTTCTTTGTCGTGTGTTAGAATAGACACATAGGAAGGAACTCAACTACCATTTCATGGCCAACTTCACGCTAAAGTTGCAGAGAGGATTTCGCCAGCCTCATCGAGCTGCACATACTCCGGCCACTCAGACTGGTGGAGCTCCTCTAGTCACCCTGATGACCAGTCTCCTTAATTAAACCTGTCATAAAAGAAGGTGAATTTACTTTTTATGCATTCAAATAGGGTAATAAGGGAGGACTTCCTCTTCTCCTTTGCTAAGTTCACATTAAATTTGCAGAGCGGATTTCTGTGGCTTCATTGGACCACACATAATCGTGCACCTTACTTGAGAACAGTCGACTAGGGGCCAATATTAAGTGGTGGCCGAATATTGCTTGTGCTATCTTTTTTATTCCATTTTCTTTGTGAGCTTGCTTTCTCAAGTGGTAGAAACGGCGCAACTTGACGTAAAACAGGAAACAAGGAGTATACAGACAGGCGCAGTAAAAGTACACAGAGAGGCACTGTTTCTGCTAGCTTAAATGAACGACCAACTCGTCCAACTTTCCACTCTGTTGAACTTGCTTTCATACTTGCAGTTTTTACAAAAGCTTTTCTTTCTTTCTTTCTTTCTTTTTCTTTTTTCGGTTGATCACAGCAACGCTCTACGTCAAGATGTTGCTCCTGCTCAAGAGTCCAGCGGGGACGTGGCTGACATGGAGATTTTGGTTTCTTCACCGTCGCCTAGAGACTTTTTGCCTGGCTGTGCTGCTGGGCCTTCTCACAAATGTGAGTGCTTTCTATGATGCGTACTTTTTTCTTTTGCAGTTTTTTTTTGTGAAGTTATAAAAGATCAGGCCGCAAAAATAAAAAGCCAAGGCTCGAAAAACATCTTGAGAGCAGATGACGCAAGGGGTCACATATCACCAGACCGACTAGCTGGCAGCTACAAATCGAAGTTTGTTCAAAGTTCACCACATTTTTGTTTTACGGTATTTTCATTGTCAAGCACACAAAAAGACAAAAAAAAAATGTTCCACACGCAGGTGTTAATACCGTCAAATCAAAACAGCTGAACCGGTTTCACAGAACCATAAGTCTTCCAGCAAAACCTCACGTAAGACAGTGTTTTTTAAAGTTATCGAAAAGCTGCCGTGGTCATATGTGTGTGATGCTGAGCCTGTCATGGTCCCTTGTTCTATCTGCCAAACTTTAGTCGCCTGTTGTTGTACGAGCGCTTCACTGTTACAATGCCATGGGCATAAGTAAGGTATGGTCAAGCTTTAAGAAAATGCATTTCACAGTTTGGATGCCTATTCTGACTTGCATGTTTCTGTGTGCGCCCTTGTCTTTTTGGACTATCAGGTCTCTGGCCAACATGAAGCGCCTAGTCCAACATAAAGACGTACTGTTGCTTTCCTAAACTTGAATTGCATGTGTAGTTTGTCAAACTTACGGTTCTTGTTTAAAGACACTTCAGATCCTTGAGGAATGTTCTTGAGCGTGAACAGATTACACATTTAATAAATTGATGGCGAATGCAAGTTTTTCTTGGAGACCTAATCTGGGTCATTTGCCAAATTGCAGCACCCTGCAAAAGCCGCAGCATCGGCAACAAGAAGGTGAACGCCTGAGAGCCAAGGTGAGACAGCTTCAAGAGCGTAACAAGAGGCTGGAAAGAAGGCTGCAACGACAACGTCAGATGAGGACTGTTGCCGAAGTCGTTGAGAGTGTCCGCGTTCATGTGTCTCCTCGTGTCGCCTCACTCGTTGAAGCCCAGCTTAGAATGAGCAATGTGAGCCGGTTTGGCCAGAGATGGTGCAGCCACAACAAAGCCTTGGCTTCAGGTCTCTACTTTCATAGCCCCAAAGGCTATAAGTATTGCAGGCGACTGCTCAGGCTGCCATCAGTAAGGTCACTGCAGCTATGGCTTCAGCGTGTGCCACTAAAGATTGGATTTTACCCTGGCATTTTCGAGCTGATAAAGAGGCGGGCAGCTTCTTTTCCTCGAGCCGATCGGGCCTGCAGCATAGTCTTTGATGAAATGCACATCAAAAAAGAGCTTTCATACAACCCCTCGTCTGACAGGTTTGAAAGACTTAAAAAACATAGTGGGCAGCAAGACAAAAAACTGGCAAATAAGGCTCCCCTGTTCATGGCGAAAGGAGTCGGAGCACCGTGGAAGCAGCCGCCTGGCTATTTTTTGCTCATAAAGGCACACCTTCAGATGTACTAAAATATCTCTTTTTCCAGTGCTACAGCGCCGTTGTGGACGCTGGCCTGAAGCCGGTAGCTGTTGTATGCGATGAACGGTGCCAGAACGTGTCTCTTTTTCAAGCATCGTAACTGCCGAAAAGCCTTACGTAGAGATCAGTGACAAGCCACTTTTTTTTCCTTTTCGATGCTCCGCACCTTTTGAAGTGACTAAGAAACATGTTATTTAAATACGACTAAAAAGTTGGTGATTACATAGTGAAAAGTTCCTACATCAAGGAAGCTTATGAAAAGGACCGTAAACTTGAGATCGGTTCTATGCCAAAGCTGAAGGAGAGGCATTTTAATTTGACCTTCTCGTCAAAGATGTCGGTGAAGCTAGCAGCTCAAGTATTTAGCAATCACTGCGCAGCTGCAATGTATGCCCTTGTTACTTCTTAGCAATCGCCAGCCACAGCTGTTCACACAGCGAGATTCGTTGAAAAAATCGACCGTCTCCTTGACAGCCTAAATAGCTCGCAGAAATCTGCAAAGACACCATATGCCTCTGCAATCTGTAACGGCTCTATTCATGAGGAGTTTCTGAAAGAGTGCATTCTGGTTTTTAAGAGCCTGCAAGTACTCGGATGTGGAAGGCAGCCGCACTGCATTCGTGGCTTCTGCTTAACAGTTAGGTCTCTACTGCTGCTCAGCAATCACCTCGCGGTTAATTGCGGTTTTTCCCACCTTTTAAATCGCCGTCTGAACCAGGACACCCTTGAAAACACTTTTGCTGTTATACGTTCAAAATCAGGTGCAAACACGAACTCCACTTTCCGTCAATTTCAGGCTACGTTCAGGCACCTTTTGATTAGCAACCTATTCAAGCTGTCGGAAAAATCAAACTGTGCTGATGAGATGTCTCTCCTTGCTACGTTCCCAGCAGGCCTTTTGGCACCTTCTCCTCGTTTTGCCTTAGGAAGATCAGTTTTACTTACCACGACAGACGATTCGCCTTCAAACTACCCTTTGGAAATAGAAGAGAACAACATGGTTTATTTTGCTGGGTGGCTGGCATCGAAATTCCTCAAGGTTCATTCCTGTGTAGGAACATCCCAGAAATATGAGTTGAGGACAGAAAATGCGTGTTTTTCTGAGGGAAATCGCGTGCTCTTGTATTTGAGTGTGAAAGGAACTTCTGACTCCCACTTTGGAATTTTCTCAGTTCCTTCTGCTGCTTTCATATTACTTGTTGAAGCTTGTGAGGAAGTCTTCGAGACATGTATCAACAACCTAATTTCAAAGGAGAACGTAAAGCGGACTCTTTGTGTCCTTTTTAACCAGAAGATTTCAAAGTCTCTGACTGTATGTGACGAAAGTGTTTATGATAATTTGTTTTCTCTGATTGCCAGAATCATTCTGCACTGGTTCGTGCGGAAAAAAAATGCTGACTATTTGATACAGTAGCAAAGTGTAAAGCTAGGCAGCAAGTGCGCAGACTACGTATGTGAGACCACCCAGAGTACTTTTTAAAGCAGTGCAGGCATCTTCTATTCGAGCCTTTCATTTTCTTCGGCTTCTGGAGGAGTAATGTATTCTTCTAACTTATTTGCATATATAGAGTTTGAATCTGTGAAGCAAAACTGGCTTATGAAGTGCAGCATACCACAGGGCTCCAAGAGGGTTTACTCCACTTGGCTTCCTTGACCTGCACCAAACAATCGCTGCGTTACAGTGTAGCAGCACCAGCAGATGCAAGTTAAGATATTTTCAGCATTATAGTACCTTGCCCAATGAATGTGTATAAAAGTGTGGCTTTTCTGTGTATTACAGCGGTGGCCTCAGTTGTCGTCGGAACACTGTGGAACCTCCGAGTTATTAGTGGCTGCCTATCAACTGTCAATGTCCTCACAACATCCAGCCGATTGTACAATGTCTTATGTTATAACAGGGTGCCTTATGTACCGATCTACTAATTTTCTTCGACCATGACCTTTTGAAAATAGTTGATACCGATTGTATAATTCTAGTGAGTAATCTGAGTGAATGATTGTAAGTGAATAAAACAAATAAAACGCGACTGTTAAAGCGACGTTGGACTTGCATTAGAGTTACTGTTGTGTATTTCATACGCCCAACACACTCCAGCAATTTGATTCACTCTTTTTTGTGACATTACATAATTTGCTTTAAGGTTTCTCACATATTTCCCATGGATCCTGAAGGAACAAAAAGCAAAACACTGCGGCTGGAGTTTGACCACAGTGCAAAGACACGATGGTGCGACGAAATGAAACTACTCTCATAGCAGGTCGGCTAACAAAGTCGGCTGCAGAAAAAAAAAAACATTTCGAACAAAATATAAGAGCAAGGGCAAATAAGGGTGTAAACGATCCAGTATTCTAGTATAGAGTAAACACAAGGTGTGAACACCCCAAGAAAAACCCGAGACTGCAGGTAAAAAGAACGACATATACACTAAAAAGTATCAAACAAAGCTCAAACACGGAGCTATGTTTGAGACTTTTTAGTGTATATGTCGTTCATTTACCTGTGATCTCTGGAATTAGTTTTGTTTAATTTTCGCGCCAAACCGCATGCACGCATGACGTCACGTTTTTTTCCGGAAGTGTCGTCATTTCCTGTTGATTTTTTGTTCCGCCGGAAGTGTCCCCACGACTCATAGATGGCGCTAAAGCAGCTCCATGGGCCGCCATTTTTTCGACATGTGGGCTTCTATGGAAGCTTCGCTACCCATGTACATATACCTTGCCTGATGTGCGAAGCGACACTGACACCACCCTCGGCACCTGGTTGGACGCAGGCATTTGGTAAATTTTGTCGCAAAAATAGGCGGCTGCAGCTAACTGCTTTTTTTTTTCAGCACCGTCCAGCCTTTCAACTAAACGAGCACGTACCAGATTATCAATGCGTCAAGCCGTGTTTTGATATCCGCTTATCAGATAAAGGCGTATGCTCGGAAACGAGCAATACAACAATCATATAACGACCACTTATATAAAAATCGACCCAAACGCGTTGCTCTAACAAAGATACATCCTAGGTTAATGCGGTCTACGCAGGTGAGTTATACGGCCAGGGGACATAGTATAGGCGGCTAATCGTAACGATCAGTTGGCTAATTAGTTAAAATTCGTTAATTAACTTTTTAATTAATGAAAATAGACATATAGTTCCAATTAGAAACTTGCTCATCGTCATCGAAAATCACTAAATCAGTAATTTTCAGAAAGACTTTGAGCGCATGAGAAGCGTAGTAGTGCACTAAAGTTACCGCTCGTGGAGCAGGTACAGGGCTGGGGCTAGATAAGAGACGGAAAAATTGCGCGGGCGCCTTATCGCAACCACTAGCTTTATACGTGCTCCACGAGTGTTAAGTTTAGTGCACTACTACGCTTCTCACGCGCTCAAAGTCTTTCTGAAAATGACGGATTTAGGGGTTTTCGATGACGCCCAACAAGTTTCTAATTGAAACTATGTCTATTTTAATTAATTAAAAAGTTAATTAACAAATTTTAACTAATTAGCCGACTGATCGTTACGATTAGCCTCCTCTATTATGTCCCCCTGGCCGTATAACTCACCTGCGCAGACCGCATTAATCTAGCTAATGGTTTTTGAAAAAAAAAAATTATGTCAAGCTTAAAAAAAAAACACCCGGTATATACACCAACTCATGTTTACAAACAAACCGGAGCGCCCGGAGCGCCCCTAGCGGACGCCAACGGCGCCGCGCATGCGCGATGGGGGTGTGGGCAAGAAGCTCGCCGTCGCCCATAAACAAACCATTGAAATGCGATGTTGTCGGCGTCGGTGTGAGTCCCCGCGCTCTTTTTCGCGTTGGAATTGTTCATTCTACGTCCTCCTAACGATGTCTGACTACTTGAGCGGCGTCAGCGAAATTAATAAGGCTCGTTACACCGCAAAACTTCGCGTGAATAATCTGATATGCGGCGATTCATTCCGCGTGGACGCCGCAGAATGTACGCTAAAGCCCGATTCACATGATGAGATCTCTCTCGCAATTTTCAGTAGCGACGTCGCTCGGACTGCAAAAGCGTGAACCGTAGCTGAGATGGTCGACGTCGATACTGAAACTAGCAAGTAGAATCTAACCTAGTGAATCAGGCATAACAAGTCGGTGATGGCCACTGGTAACAATAATCAACATCTCCTTGTATCTACTGTTTACGTCGAGCCTGCTTACCAACCTTCAAACTTAAGTCTTTTGAAGCCTGCGCTTACTTCTTATCGCAAGTACCGGGCCCACGTTTGGTCTACGGGCCGGTGTCCTCTAAACGAGCAGTCGACAAGCAGAAACGTTTGAAAAGGCAGACGACAGTTCGAACGATCAGGCGACCGTTTGAACTTGAAGACGCACTGAACGTAGTCCGCAGGTGGTCCGTACAACTTGACAGTTTTCCGGCGTTCATGTTGGAACAAAACAAAGAAATCTGATGGCCAGAAGTATCCGTGAATTCAACCCAAAGTGCTTCCCGTCCAAGCAATCGTGGTCCGACGGCGTCTGGTTTTCCCTTTTCACGGTACATATCCACGTTCTCGCACGATCCGAGCGCATGAAAACTGACCTTCAAACCTTTCTCGACTCTTTTTGTATAGCCCCAGTCGTAGCATTTTGACGAGAAGGCAGGTTTTTGTTTGGTTTCTTTCAAAACAATGCAGGAATACACGTCTCACATGGGCACTTCCGCCCACAGCCCCGGACCGGAAGTGCGTCCGGCGCGCCACCACCGCGCCGTGACGTAACAGAGAGGAGTTGGTTTATAGACCGTTCTATTAGGGTCATAGCAGAGACGGTAAAAAGAGAAAAAAAAAAATGCCCTCCCCCTCTCGCCCGCACGTTGTCTGCTCCGCCGAGTGGGCAGTACCATACAGTACCTAGCCACCGGCTGGCGTACAAACTCTATTTAAAGTCGCGTCATTTTGAGAATTTCAAGCGCAGATTTTGGTATGCCAGTTATCGTGTATTACTATGCTAGATAAAAAAGACTAACAGAGTCCAATTGCGCTGTTATCTGCGTGCCAATAAAAAAATAAAAAAAAATAGGAACAACTGTGTCAGACTGGCCTGTCTCTCCGGCGAAAAGTGACTCCGGTGGCTGTACCTTTTTTACTATACAAAGTTCGTACTGGTGTAGGCCTTCAGCGACCATGAGTGGATGTCTGAAATAATAAATAAAAACGTGCTCTCCTGCCGCAATACACGCAGTAGTTGAGGGTAGTACTGCCGGCTGACTCAACTGCTATTTAAGTAACGGAAAAACGGAAAAAAGATATGTCAGTCGATCATTCACCGAAGTAGAACAACAGAGAACTCTAGGCTGATTTTGGAGTAGCCATAGCTATTCTAAGAACGCGAACCACTTCATAACGGCAGCCACGAGCGAGAGTTCGATGTTCCGTACAGCCCGCCGATACAGCCCAAAAATGGAGAATGGCAACCTCTAGTTTTGTCGTCTGCTAACGGAGTCGGGCCCGTGCGCCCTCTCTCGTTGTACCCCGCCGAATTTCCCGGATGTATGGAGAGGGCGCTGCTGTCGAACAGAATGGTGCCGCCCAGAGAGCGTTAAATGGAATGGTCTATATATATATATATATATATATAAAAACTAAGCCAAAGCTTTTTTCTTTTTTTTTTTGCTTTTTCTTTAGTTGGATGCAAGCAGTGTTGAAGGCGTTACCGAAAGTAACGAAAAAGGTTACTCGTAAATAGGGAGTTTTCGTCGATCGTTTTCGCCGTCCCGCAAGGAATTCCACAGTCAAGGCTATCGATGCGCAGGCGCAGTGGCAACTTCTTCGTTGCGGAATGCTTAGCGGAGGGGGGGGGGGGGGGGGGGGGGGCAGCGCGGTCTACGAAAACTCCCTAATAAGAAGGAATGCGCGACGGACCTAGGTTACCTCAAAAGGAATGCGCTACCGTTACCGATAGAAAGTAACGCACGTTACTTTTTATTTATGAACTAAAACGTCTTACTGTTTTGACGTGGTTACAGCTATGCACAAGTCCCAAATTTCAAGAAGCAATTTCTTTAAGGGTATGTGGGATGAGTGCAAGAAATGATGACCTGGCGCCTAGAAACACGAAAACAAATGAAGTGTAATTTGTTTTATATGTTTTGGAAAGATGTAACGAATAATGTAACTACGTTTCTTGCTACTTGAAATAAGCAACGTAAGCACGTCACAACGTTACAGAAAGAAAAAAAAGGCGTCATGGGTAACGCGTCACCATCGGCACTGGGTAAAAGCTACGAGTGCGCCAGAAGCTGCTCTTACACCCCCACTACCTAGAGTTCCTGTATAGGCTCCCTACGGGAGCCAGAGTTGCGCGTTCATGCATGGCATGTGGATACAGCTCCTCACGTGACTGAATTCGGCGAATAGCAGCGCCGCGCGTTCGAGGCGCGCGGCGCTGCTATTCGTGGAATCAAACTCTCAACTCTGGCTCCCGCAGGGAGCCTATACAGAAACTCTACCACTGCCCACTGTTCCTCCGCGATGCGAAAATAGTCCACGACCGAGATGCGGCAATGGAAGCGCCGCGCTGACGTCACGTCAGTCGTCATGGATACGGCCTTTCCTAGTTGGTCCGCGCAGCATTAGACGCAGTGGCTGGTACACGGTGTTTCGGCGCATTCTTATCTTGCATCCGACCCATAGTACGTTCTAACCTTGCTTAATTTTGACGCCGGCACTGGCGAGGGGTGCGGCATTTTGAAGGCCTTCGTTATTGTTACTCGAAAACCAAGCTGATTGTGTTTCAGCGGCCTCTCGTCACCTAGGGGCGCGAGAGGCGCTCCACTTCAGATGGAAGCCAATTTTTTTTTTTTTTTTTTTGCTTTAGTTTACATTGGTGAATTGCTCCAAGATAATTCTATCTAATCTGTTTTGTTAGGAGCGGAATGTTGTACAATTGTTGCACTTTAGCCTTATTAGGTGGCGGCATTAAATCAAGCTCCAAGAAAAGCGCCAACCCACTTTATATGCATCAGGATCTGATGTCAAACTAAGCAAAGGTTTCCAAAATTTCTAGAGGAATTCAAGTGCCGTAACGCGGCCCTTGTTTGTAGCAGTAAAACTGCCAATGAGCTTTAAGACATCTGGCGAGCCTTAATAATTATGGACGAATTTCCTCCGCTCTAGACTAATCGTTTGTGGCGGTGAGCAAAAAGCGGAAGTCTCTCTGTTGCGGGAGCACTTGATAAGATCTTTAAGAAATAACGCAGTCTCACCGTAACTTGACAGCGCTGTGAAAAACTTGTTCAATTCGCTTTATTTGTTTCTACTCTTACGACTGCCTTTAGATATTGCACCCGTCTTAAATATAGACAAGCGCGCGGCTTTAACGCCACGCTGTGCTGGCGCTGGAGTCGATCCGGCGCACAGAAGCTTCATCCCACGCGAATCAAGTACAAACGCGGGTTTGTTCATAAACAGCGCGCTGGCGTAGAGGTAAGTAAAATCTTTCTATGGCCGCTAGTCGAATACGGGTGGACAAAAACACCCATTGTCAGGGTTTAGCCAAGAATACAGACGCCATTATACTTCCAGCGACATCCTGCTGAGCACCCTGCTGGATTTGCGCAAGAACCAGCCATTTGCTGTCGTGGTTTCAGCCCATCGGGAACTTCGCCAGAAGAGGAAAAGATTTCGAAACAACACATCTTACCTGACATTACTAAAGCTTCCTGGAAGCGGTATAGCAAACATCCTTATAAAGAGGGTTCTTGCCGCCGTAAAAAGAAAAGACATACATACCAGTTTCAATGCACCATGCCAGCAGTCGAAGACAATTCGGCGGCCAATATGACCCGATTCACATACCAAAGAGCACATCATATGAGACATCGGTGTGACTGACGCAAGGACTCGGTTTTAATTACAAAAAAGGCAGTGACTGTAAAGTCAATCGACAAAGATGAAAAGGGGCAAGGATTTGCCCCTTAAGACGGCCAATGAGGTGGGATCGATGATTGGTGCCGTGAATATGCGGAGTACACGTTGGTCGCTTGAGCTCTCCCCTAGAAGGCGCCGCTTAGAAGGCCAGCTTCTTCATGAGCAGGTAGACGTGGTTGTCTACCTCGAAGCCGTGCAGGTTGTTGGGGTCTCCCTGCAGGCGCATCAGCAGGCCTCCAAAAGACACGTACGCCGCCCTGCAATCGAGAAACGAAATGGGACATGATTCGTTTGCACCGACCGACCACATAAATGACGGTGGCGAGTGGCGACACGACAAAACCACGCACCGGTAAGAAAATTCTGTTCCGACGGAGATTTTTCCCAAGAGTGATGTCAACTTCGGTTCTCTCTCAAATGAGGGGTCAGTATTAAACATAATTTTATTAGAACACAAAACACAACGCATGTCTTCACCCGCTAGGTGTGCGCTGCGGCGCGCGCGAAATACATGATGCTCTAAGCCGGCAATCAGAGATCGACCCTACCATGAAATATCAGATAAGCCAAATGTACGGAAACTGCGGCGTAGTAATACGAGTTACAGCGCGGGTCCACTCAACATGACAAACGCGAAGCAAAAAAAGAAAAAGAATGTGGCGAAGAGATCGTTGTCTGGCGATAGGAGGAGCCACCATATCGGCAATACAGCTAGTGGTTGTAGTACGGAGCACACAACCAGCTAACCACACTGCCACACGGGGACAACTCGACGACTCCAAGATGCCCGGACACTTCCGACGACTCCAAGGGGAAAGCCATGCAAGCCTACTTACCCAGTTTTCTCCGCAAGAATCGAGCAGGACTAAGGGGGCAAGGTGACAATCCCATGTAACATAGGAGATGCGATCAGAAAGTCCCTAGACCGGTTTTGTAGCACGAAAAGAGAGGGCAGCACGGTGGTGAACGCGCAACCGTCGAAGGAAGGGAACTTCGTGCGACATTATGCCACAGGGCGTCGTTCTGTGAGCAGTTGGGGCTACTCTACACGAGTATGAGCACATCGACGACTTCACCATTGAATCCAACCAGAGCGAAGAGCGAACATTAATTCTGAGACAAACTCGGCAAATTCGGAACAGAGACATGAAAATTAATCGGCAGATTTTTGGCGAAGAAAGTCATGAGTCGTGCAATGTGTTTTGGGTGGTGCTTGCTTTCAAGATTGGCAGAACGTTACTGGAAGACGAAGAGACGCCGGGGAAAGCCAGCCCACCTCTCTTTGTGTTCCAGACCAGTGATGTTCTGCCGTTCATGAAGCACGAGTGCCACTCAAAACACCTCGCACGACTCATTGCTTTCTTCGAAATCGTCGATTTTCTCATCCACGTGGTCCCAAAAACTCGTGAAGCGCAGCTCCAATTGGTCATAGAACGACACCCTTTGGAACATTTAACGTCCCTAGATAACGCTATGCGAGGTACTGACAAGTCCTCCTCTCCCTCCCTCCTCCCCCCCCCCCCCCCCCCCCCCCCGCTCCTGTCGTCTGCTAGCGCGCGGTGCGCCATGTTCTGCCTAAATCTCCCAGAATGGCTGTGTTCGAAATCTCCAGAATTACTCCGGTGCGTCATGTCACGTGACAATCCAGATAGAACCACGCTGGACGCGGGTAGGTTTTCGAACGTCAAGGTGCCAAACCAGTACTCCAGAGCGAAGTCGAATCAAATCCGCCATGCTCTCCCGAACCGGAAACGGAACGAGAGCGTGTAGGCAAGTTCAATCGCTATCATTACTTGGCAAACCGTTAATCGAGGGGCTTCAGGCATAATGACAGATAAAGGTTTCCGCCTTCGACAGCCGCAAGCGCATCACCGTGCTGCCCTCTCGTTTCCCGCTTCAAAACAAATTTCGAAACTTCCGGATTGCATTTCATAAGTGAGTCTCAATTTCCACGAGGAAGCCATAAAACAATGTTTCGCGTTGTAGATGTAATGGTCCCTGACTGACATCAATATGGAACAAATCGTTTCCAATCTTGCAGCGTTCGAAGGGAAACCATCAGCTTTAAAGGAGTATAAACTGTTAGCAAAACGCAGGCGTGCCACTTTCCGCTTTCTAAGTTTGTGCAAGATAAGTTGACGATTGACAGCTATCCTGAAACTGCAAGGAATTCACTGTTTCATGGCCGATAAGATTTCACCGATGAAATACTGAAAATTCCTAGCATCTCTTCCGGCACAGCTTCGCGGCGGAAACAAGCACCCTTATGCGACAAGACATATGGAACACTTATAACCGCAGACTTCAGCTTTATAAAGTCATTAATTAAATCTCAGATGGTCGGTGCCAAAACACAAATAGTAAAACTTATTAGGCTTCGCAATAAATTGCAGAAAAATATTAACTAGGACCTAAACGTCTAACTATATAAACACTTAATGAGTTGCGCCACCTGTAAAACATTTAAAAAAAAAACTCGAGAAAAAAAAAAAAAAACGGTCAAAACGGAGCCGATACTGCGCGCGGCTTACGACCTGAGATTAGAGAGATTAAAAAAACAAAACAAAGCGGCGCTTGTAAACAGAGCCCACGGAACAATTCGAACAGAGGGGAAAGCGTTCGGCGAGTGGTGGACACCATTTGTCCTGGGGCACAAAGCTGGCAAAAGCGTCCCCAATTCGTTCCTTCCGCTCGCAAAAGCACGTCCACGCACGGGATTACACTTGCGCGCGGGAACTCGCTTCCCTAATTCTACCGAACATAAACCGCAGTCCCGCGCAACGACACAAGAGCGAGCGCGCAGAAGGGTCCTGCGACGCAAAGCCGGACAACTGACAGCGAGCCTTCTTCGATCGGCCGCGCGGTCGGTCGGTCGACTCCGGGACCCCCGCAGCGATCCCCACAAACAGGATTACGCGGCGCGCAGCTCGAGTGACGACCTCGTGAAGGTCGAAGCCAGCGAGCATGACTGATGCAGGTGTAGTCCACTCCACCTTGCGATGGACGGCAGCGAACGCTTACAGCCCCGTCCCAGCCAATCCCTTCCTGCAAACGTAGCACGTGACTCCTGTCACGTGACCAGACTTGTATGTCACGCGTTCCCCATATATGGTTACGTTTATCGGCAACCAAGTATAACGACAACCTAGTCAATTTTAATAGTAGGAACGAGTAACATATTTTCGGTACTTTTTGATGAAGTAGCGATCTTTGGTTGCTCTATTTTAATAACGTGTACACTGTCTGCATGTGACTGTCCATGTACACTGTCTGCATGTGGGCATTGGAAGAAAAAGAACTATAAGCGTACCCTAGCCCCGAGGCTCCTGTTCCGAATAACGATATGGACCCGTCTCTCTCGTTATACCGCGTTTCGGAACCCCACGAATGTCCTCGTGAACAAAATAAAAACAGAAAAAGGAAGCGATGCACGAGAAGAGCTTCCCATGAGCAGAAAACTGATACCGAGCGTCGTTCTGTTCCTTCGTAAGTTTACCGACTTTCCCGTATAAAATGGGTACGGGCCTTCCGGAGTTCGATGGTGGCTCAGTCGTGCGAACATTTCGGGCCACGCACGCAGACGATGTTGCAATCGCGTAAAGTATAGTGCGACTCAGCCGGCGATTCCAAACGGTAACTTAAAACGGAAAGTTCTTTTTCTTTTTTTCCGCGTTCAATATTAAGCAGATGCGCGCGAGTCGGTAGAGAACCAGCCAACACCGAGTCCCCCGAAACCACGTAGAGTTCTTCGGATGTTCCGACCGGAGACGAATTTCGCAAAAACTTCCCGGAACTCAATCGCAAGCATATACGCGCAAGTCGCGAGAAAATGACGTCGACGAACCACACCCTGCCGTCCCTAATCTCGGTGTTAATTAGTAAAGACGAAAGCGGTCACCAGTACCAATAAAAGAACTATAAAGCTAAACATGCGGACACCAATTCGAAACCAGCATGTTCCAAAGACACTTACCACAGAGACGAGCAATGACAACGCGACACCGTATAAGCGAAGGAACGGGAAGGAGGCGCGTTTCGGCTACCAACCGTGGCAGGAACGTAAGGAAGCGGTCAATTGTCACAAGCTCCATGCACTCATCACCTGTCATGGCGGCGACCGGATGAGCTGCCCACGAGCACCGGAGTGCGGTTACGCCGACGGCGGACGGCAGCGGCGGCGGCGGGCAGCCTGCTAGCACTAGCGTCTATAAACGAGAACAGGCAGGCGAGCACGGTCGAGTGGAGGGCCCCGAGTTATTTACTGCGGTTTCCTATACAAGCGACGGGAGCCGCAGCGCACACACACGAACGCGAGCGAAACAGCTGTGAGCGGGCGCAGCTGCGGGCAGCGCGATGCAGCCCGGCCGAGGTTTTTCACGGTCGCTTTCCATTCACGCGCCGAAGGTTCTTCCTTCGTTCTTTTTTTTTTTTTTTTTCTTCTCCGCTTCCGCCGCAGACCGACGAGTAAGTAAAAGCGCACTGACGAACGAGCGCAAATGGCAAACCCACCTGAGCGCAACTTGATAACGCCCTTTCCGACACCCGTGAACTTGTTCTCCAATTTTACACAAACCAGCCCATACGTTTCAACGCTTCACTATCGCCGCTGCCACCAGTCTATCCGTTCTCTGTGCCAGCACCTCAGGCCGACGTGTTTTGAGAGAGAGAGACCCGAAAACGGCATCCCACACAAAGCGTTTACTTAAGCTAGAGCCACAAAATGACACGGCGTTCATGGTTCCTCTTCGGCAGCTACAACGTGCTATAATTTCGGTTGAGTTCACGCACGGGCTCCATTCAATGCCGTCTCCACCGGCAGCCGTTCGAATCCCCCCCACGTCGAACCGTAACCCTACAACCACACCGCAAAGACAGACAGTGTGCAGACACTGCCTTAGACGTATTTCTTCCTTATATGAAGGACCTAACACATTGGTCATACAAACAGCAACCTGCGGACATTTTCGCTGCATATGAATGTATAAAGCAAAGAGTGTGTGCCTTGAACATGATGAGTCATGTTCGCAGATAATTATGTCCTCATGTCGGGAGTGGACACCGTGTCTCTTTTACGACGTACGAGCAGCTAGTGGGACTAAGGGCTTAGTATATAGCCACGCCCGATCGAGAGCCTCTTCTCATTGGAAATGAAAAGTCCACGAGGGAACAACTCGCTGGTGGGCTTATCGCGAGGAGAGCATAAAATGTTTTCCGCCCGACTGCAGTCGACTGCTGAACCGCTGAACGGACCTGTTGT